TATCACGTGTTATTACGATCTTTGTTGGGGCTATTGTTGTCCAACCATCTCCCAGCATGCTCCCTACCTGCTTGCTGGATCCTACGGGTCTTTGCTAGTCCTTGTAAGCTTTTAGAGGAGACATGTATATACAATGGGTAATTAAGGGCTCATACTAGGGGCCCATAGTTCCAACGTTTCAACCATAGATTTCAGGCAAAGATCTGGTCCTTGCAATGTCATACCCGTTTGGGTGTCCAAAACCTGCATAACCTTAAGTACTATACCTTAGGAACTATGGGAGTTTGACAAAATAAGGTCATGCCAGTTTTTTGGCATCAACACATATACTTTCGCATGTTACTTTTCATTTGTTACCCCTAAGCCCGAAACCCTAACCCCTACATCCTAAATAGTAAAAACCCTAAACTTGCCCTAAGCCCTAAACCCGTTTAGGAGAACCAACGTGGCTTTCAAGGAACTTGCGGCATGGAAGCCAAAAGAAGCATGTTCAAGTCGGTTTAGGGTTTAAGGTTTGGGTATGTTACAGGGTTTTTGCTTGGTACATTTATCTGCATCATTCCAATGCTATCGGATGATCTTCGATTTAGGGTGGGGAGCCCCGAAAGGAATTTAAAGCAAGCTACCATGATGGGTATCTATAGTTAGATTCCTTAATAGCAACCCAGTAAGCTCTGTGTAGGCCCCGTACACTGTATGCCCAGATCCTGCTGGGTACTGCAGATGGGGGTTTCCCAAAATTAGGGGTACCTTTAGAGGGGATGTAAAGATTATATAGGGGTTATACAGGGATCTATAGCCTTTAGGGTTTAGGGCTTAATTAGGGCTTCCCAAAATTTATAGGATTTTGGGCTCTATATTGGGGTCCCCCATGTGTGAAAGCCACTAGATGAAACAAGCGTTTCGTAATACGCCTGCCTAGATTCTTCATGATATCCTTTGCTTTGCGGGACCTAAGCAAGCTCTGTGTTGAGGTTAGGGTGATACAGACGCTATATACCTGTAGTCTAAACTCCTTAGAGGGGGGCTGTATAGGGGATTATATACTCCCTTGTAATATGGTTTATTAGGGGGATACTAGGAGTTTAGATTGTAGCTATCTAGGGATAATCTAAGCTCCTAGCATCACCCTTAATAACCCCTAAACTAGTCCCCTACATGTTCCCGCATATAACCCACCCCTTTAAGGAGTTTAGACCCTAAACCCTAAACCCTATATATAGGGATGATTTCCCGGGAGCCTGCTTTGACGTTGTCGTGGTAGTTGCACCACGCGGACATGCGTGTGGCTCACTGCGGTCCACCTACAAAGGGCTTGGCATGCAAAAGCTTTGGGGAATTTGGGGTTTAGGGTTTTAGGGATTAGGTTTTAAGGCTTTGGGGCTTAGGGTTTGGGGGTTTAAGGCTTTAGGGTTTAGGGTTTTAGGGTTTTAGATGGCTTAGGGCTTAGGCTTTAGGATCCAGGGCTTAGGGTTCAGGGTCAAGGGTTCACATATGTTTTAGTGTTTTGGCTTTAGACCCTCAGACACTACAACCAGTGCCCATCATTAACCCCTTACATTAAATTCCCATTGTGGTATACTTGGAGGGTCTGGGGGACTTAGTAAGTGGGTTAATAAGGGGGACAAATGGAGTTACAAAATGGGTTATAGGGGTTATCAACCTACTTACTAAGTCCCCCTGACCCTCCAAGTACTCTACTATATTTCGGGAATATGCATTAAATTAATGAGGTGAGGATGTATGAGGGGGATTAATAGGGTCACGGAGACATGGACAACGTCTCGAGCTCACGGACACTTGGTTCGTAGCTGCAGCTCGTCCACGGATGACTTACGCAAGCCCAGGTGTATGCCCTAAACCCTACTATAAACCCTAAACCAGAAACCCTTCAGTTTCAGACCGTCTTCCTCTAAATGCTGCAATCGAGCAATGACTTTCGGAAGTGGAGTGGAGTAACGTGGAGCTTCCTAGGGCAGTGGACCCTGAAACCCTCTCATCCAACAAGATGTCAAATCAGAAAGGCGAAGAGGCACGTGAAAAAAAAACAGCCTGACCTTTAGGATTTCTGCTGCGTCGTCCTGATGCACTGGCCGAGAAGGGTCTGCGCATGACTCACATTTGCATGAGGCCGCGAATTCTGGTTTGACAGACTCAGCAAATGTAAGCAGCTTGCCCACTAACCAAGAGCAATCCACAGATCTTGCAAATTCTGGAACATCTGATGTTGCACAAGGGCCGCCTGCAGTATGCCAATGCTGTCGGCATTCCTGCGCAGGTGTTGCACGGCACTGAAAAAGGCCTGTTTCAGATGTCCTGCTAGTACGAACGTGACTGCTCTGGGAATGTAGGGAGCGCGCCCCAACGCTTGAGAACACATCCCAAAGTTTAAATGTGAATCATGTGACGGCCGGACTTTGGAACGTCACGAAAACAACCCTGAACTTACCTCTGCTTAGTAGGGAATGAAGGTGTTCAAAAAGAAAATGAAGGTACAGTCCCCCTTAAGTAGATAGAATAAAACCTTGAGTATATTAGAATAAGATCCCCATCTACCCCATATTCTATCTATCTAAGGGCGAGGACTATATAGGGACTATTACAAGGATCCCATTCCCTCATTCCTTGCTAACAAGAGGTGAGCCGTATAACCCCAACCTGCCGCTACGATTTCATGTTAAAGTTCTTCCGTTGGCTAAGTAAGTATAACCCCTTAGTATGAGGCGATCGTCCTAGGCATGAAATAGATCGCACCGTTGACCAAGATGCCGCTGGAGAACCTCCGACGGGGGTTTAGGGGTTAGGGTTTACGTTTTGAGGTGTCTGGGAAACCCGGAGAGTCCAATCCAAAGGAACACTGCTTAGGCTTCAGTAGGGTAGCTTTGGGGACTTCAAAGAATTTCCTGCTACGGCCTTTTCGGGGATAATTAGAAAGTAAAGGTAATCAAGATTAAAGGTTGTTGTCCTCCTGTTTATGTTTTGAGATTCGCAGTCTAGGGTTTAGGGCATACGTTTAACAGCCGAAGTAGGGAGCTTCATGCAATTCAAACAACATCCACGATTTCTAGTCCCTCGGTCATATTCGAAATCTTTGACATGATTCAACTTCCACGCCTCTGGACTCGTCTTGAGCAACGCAGGCTAGTTGTTGATTTTTTCTTGACAGCTGCTGGGGACAGCTAGGGAGCACCCCACTATTACCCTAATATGACCCCAACATGTGATACAATAGTTTCCATTTCTTTTCCAGTATCAAACCCTAAACCCTAAATCCTAAACCCCCTACAATACCTTTTTTAACCCAGGACTGAGGCTCCGGCCTGACTGCATCTTGCCGTTGCAAGCAACTAGTAGACTACAAGCTCCCAAGCTATTCATGAGAGCACAAGCAACATAAAACATGCAGCTGCAATGGGGCTTCAAAAAGAACGGCCGTTAAGCTCCATCAGGGCTAGTCGTTTTGGATGCAATGCGTTGAGCTCTTTCTTCACGTCTGCATTGTTTGACTGCAGCTCGTTCAGCGTTGTGTTGTTCTAGCAACTTGTCAATTGACATTGGCTTGCCTTGCGTTGATGAACATAATGCAACATCAAGCTCATCTTGCTGTTGCTGAACGTTTCTGGCGTCATTCTTTGTATCACGATGGTGCTGAAGAATAGGCTCCTCAGGCTCCCTATTGGTCTGGAGGGAGTCGGAAAGCATTCTGACTTGACTCTCGAGGTGATTCAAACGCAGCGACATTGCATCCTTCCGCTCCAAGAGGTCCAACTTGTCACTTAGCACACGAACATCCTCCTTCACCCGCTCCACCAAGTTGTTCAAGGTATTCTTGAAGCTAGGGTCAGCTTCTGGCAGGACCACGTTAGAATGAGTGCTCGTGGACGTATGCCGCTCTGCATCTTCGTCCGTTTGAGTCATGGCATGACAGAAAGACTCTTCGGCAAATAGAGAGTCGTATAGAGAGATCACCTTTCTGTCAGCAAATACTGGCTTTTGCTTTGCCTGGCATGCAGACGGTGTCAAGCAGAATAGCGCCTCATGTAGCTTCGCACGAGCTTCTGCATCAGCACCACTTTTACCTGCAACCCGGATTGCGTACCCAATCAGCGCAGCCAGTTTGATAGCCATTGCTGGAGATTGAATTTGTGAACGCTTGCAAATGCCCATTAGGGCCTCGTAGCAAAATGGCACTCGAGCCAATACGTAAACCCTAAACCCTAAACCCTATAAACCCTAAACCCCCAACTGGATCTGGGTGCGAGGGAAGCCCTCAGTCCTTAACTTTTCTAATCTCAACCCTCCTCGCCCCAGTCTGAGGCTCCTAAAATCCCATGACACCCAAACGGTCTGGGGTTTAGGGTTCAGGCTTTGATTTGGGTACTGCCCCCTCCCAGTAACAGTCTATATTAGGGGTCCTATTAAGGGCTATATATCACCCTATTATATTCATTATCCAACTGTTACTGAGGGGGGCAGTACCCAAGCTTTGATGATGGAAAAGAAAATGGAAACTACTATATAGTATGTTTGGGTTTTATTTGAGTTATATGAGCTACTGTCTAAACTCCTAGTATCCCCCTTAATATCCCCCATAATAGTCCCCTATATAATAACTTATATAACCCCCTTTAAGGAGCTTAGAATATAGCTCATATTGGGGTGCAACCTCAACGCGCTAATCAACGTCTTCGAAAGCTTTGCCTGCCACCAGGGGATCCGCGAGAGATGCGAACAGTAAGGTTTAAGAACCATTTGGGTCTCTAAAGGGGTCATAGCTACTATAATAGTGAGAATAATAACAGTAATAATACGTAGTAATACAGGTTTAAGCCCAATATAATGTTGGGGTAAAGCCTAAACCTCTGGTCGGCGAAGGGGTTTCGACCTGGGTTTTGCTACTACAAGAGCCATTATGGGAACATGGCAGGCTACCCAAGTAGCCTAACGCCTCTCCCACACCAGACTCTCAACTGTGACTCACTGTGACAGGGCCAAGTGGCTTGAAGTCGGTGCTGATCTGCTTTGATATGTCCTAGGTTTGCTACTCACGAGTTAGGAGCTATGAAGCGTGGATTCCTCGGGGGTTTCGTGGATACTGGGGTTCACGGCTTGGACTCGGCGGAGGGCTATACCTGGGCCATAACTGCATGATAATGCCAGATCTGATCTGAGATCCCTTGTAACAAGACTTTGCGAGCACCTTCCTGGAAATTGGCAAGGCCTAGAAACCCACTTCTTTATTCAAAGCCTCGAAGAAGCTCATGTAGTAGGGAATTGAGGAATGGATCCTGGTGTTTAGTCAGGGATGTAGGAATGCATTCCTACAGTAGTCTCTGAACAAACCCTTCTAACAATCCGCATCTAGTCCTTATTTCCGACTCTCATATCAGCAATGTTAGGTTCAGGGTTGAAGTCAGAACTGGTTCACGTGGCAGCTATTGCTCCGGTGGTCTCATGGGTGCGAAGAGAAAGGCGCGCAATCTAAGACCATTTCATCCAATGAAGCGCACATGACTTAGAGTCCGCAGATCTAATTCTGACCTGACCCCCAAGATCCTGGTGGTTGAAGGGTATATGGGGGGTTATATTGGGGGTTATGGAGAAGAAAGTGGAAACTACTATAATGCCAGGGTTTAGGGTTTAGGGTTATATAGGACGGAAGGGTCATGAGTTGCCGAAATCGCGGTCTTATTGCTTATGCAATGCGAGATGCGATAGTCACGAATGACTTGGAGGCCGCGTGAAGCACACCGATATTGTCTGCATTGTCTGGGACGAAGTAGGTGAGGCCCTTGTCTTCAACGGCGCCCCAGTACCTTGAGGCAGGCCGGCACAAAATCAAAAGCATTCTAGGTAGCCACAAGACTGATGCAAAGGACATGAGCTCTCCCATGACCAAGACCAAATGGCGAGAATTGCCTGCTTTGTCTTTTGGGCCCCTAACTTCCGAGACGCTCGCTAACTTACGGCTTATAGTCCCCTTTAAGTAGATAGAATATGGATTAGGGTATATTTTAATAAGGTCCCCATATACCCCATATTCTATCTAAAGGGGGACAATAGGGTTTCGAAGGAAGGTCTAGTCAATCTCTGAGGATAGTGGATATTCAGTACAGATAGTTTTCTCAAAGTTTCTGAAAACACCTCGCTCATGTGCGCTTTGGTCTGAACTCCTAGTATCCCCCTTAAGAATGGAGAATCAAACGGATAGGAAAAGGGAAAATGATATGGAAACTGGGATTATATAGGGGATTATGGGGGTTATAGTCTACACTCCTAGTTATCCCTCTTAACGACCCCTATAGTCGTCCCCTATATAATCCCCAATACAAGCCCCATTAAGGAGTTTAGACTA